ATAATAATAAAGGATAAACTTAATAATAATAATAATAAAGGATAAACTTAATAATAATAATAATAAAGGATAAACTTAATAATAATAATAATAAAGGATAAACTTAATAATAATAATAATAAAGGATAAACTTAATAATAATAATAATAAAGGATAAATTTAATAATAATAATAATAATAAAGGATAAACTTAATAATAATAATAATAATAAAGGATAAACTTAATAATAATAATAATAATAAAGGATAAACTTAATAATAATAATATAGTATCAACTTACTAATAGAGGTACGAAAAATATAATATAAACTTGTAACGTAGTTTAATGTATTTATTATCAAAGTTATAAATCGAATAAGTTATTTTGTGTGAAAACTTAATCAAAACAGGCATTCTTGGGTTAAGCTTAAGTTATGTCATCACTACACAAAACAACGCTTTCTTTATGTCAACGCTCTTGGGTTAAACGTATTTTATGTTACGAGTGCACAAAAATAACAATTTCTTTACATATGTGTAGTATCAGCACTCTAGGGTTAAACGTGTTTTATAATTTCTGTCATCATCCAAAAATTAATTATCTGAAATGTACAAAAATTAGTTAACTCTTCTCTTGCCCGTGCTTTCATACATGTAAAGGAAATGCAAATATATGTGCACGTGGAATAAGTGTATTAGCGCTACTGTTATGCACAAATTTAAACAACTGGCTCGTGGCTCAGTTGCTGAGATATATGACTCTCATATCTTTTGCAACAAAGACAAACACGTGATCGTAATCTAATTCTAATTGTGTATTTCTTTAAGATATTCTCAAATATATTGAGCGTCAACTCATTTTCGTGTCAACACAGAAATAAAATAATCAATATTAAAGTATATTATATAAATAAGTTAAAAGTAGAGAAACAATAAGTAAAGAAAATCGTGCAAGACAGAAATAGATGGCCTATTGTTAAATTAAGGATGTAACTTATCTTCTGGACTAAAAGCCAGTTTGAAACCTGCAATACAGTTTTCTTAAATGGCCATTACTCATGTCCAATAATCCTCATATACGGGACTAGACATAATCTGTTCTTGCTAAGCAACACGCCATTAGGGATTTTCAACACCAACTGTCCAAAATCTGATACAGGAAGATATATCATTGTATGTTTGCGAAATTTAGTTCTGTGTTTACTGAGTTGTCGAAATTCGTTAAGAAGGGGTGCCAAGACACGAAAGTGTAATTTTAAGGCTTTTTTGAGGCTTCGTTTTACATTCTTCTGAAAGTGACGAAAAAAGAAAACGAACACGATTTCAAAGTTCAGAATTTGAAATTACTGATAGAATTCGACCGTTCAAGAGTTCAAGAAAAATAGTACAGTGTAGTTGTATAGAATTAAGAACCGAAAACGTCATTGCAAGTCAGTTAAATACTTCCATAGTCTTATAATTATTACATTAGGTACTGATAATACTTACTTTTGTCCGTTACTCGAGTCTAAAGCCACACCTGTGGAAAAAAGCCAAAATGCACAGTTGAGTAAATTGGCAACATTGTAATATAATTAACACATTGACCTGAAATCTAGCCTTGGGAGACATTGTTTGATTACATTGTTAGCTTTGGAAGACATTGTTTGATTACATTTTTAGCTTTGGAAGACATTGTTTGATTGGATTGTTAGCTTTGGAAGACATTGTTTGATTACATTGTTAGCTTTGGAAGACATTGTTTGATTGCATTGTTAGCTTTGGAAGACATTGTTTGATTACATTGTTAGCTTTGGAAGACATTGTTTGATTATATTGTTAGCTTTGGAAGACATTGTTTGATTACATTGTTAGAGTTACGATGATTTCTTCTCCAAGAGTTTCTATAAATGCCTACCTGAAAGCGTGGTTTTCCTGGAGAAGATCCAGCACTATATCATAAAATACAAGGTTAAACAGAAACACAAATACGTTAAGATGCTGGAGTAAAAAGCAATTTCCCGTTAGAAAAATATAAACGAGTTTGTGAATCCACAGCCAATAGCGGATTAAAACTTTATTGTAGCTATTCGGGGCTAATATTTGTACATGTTATCGATTCTTTGTATAACTTCACTTACCCGACACGAGTACTTTACAGTGATGAACTACATGTCGTGAATGAACTCTGTGCATGAACGGTTCGTAGATTACTCCATATACAAAACTTGTCGTATCCACCCATTTCGAATTTAGGCGTACAACAAAGTTACACGGAAAACGAGTGTAACAATGTAAACATGATTTCACTGTTCTTGCTGTGCAGTAATGAAAAGAAATTTGAATTTAGATGAATCCCATGAAAAAAAAAGGTATTAAATAGGTATCTGGATTCAAGACATTCCTTGTATAGTTATGTCCTTATATAAATATATACTAGGAAACTGGAGGCACGTCGTTTGTGACTTTTTGTGCTTTCGAAATATGTATTAGTGATACACATTAATGTATAAGAGCATGATGTCGCCGCTCACGGAATATTTATAGATAACTTGTTTTTTAAGTTATGCATAAGATAAGAGAAGCATAGATAATAAAGGTGAAAAAAAAAACGGAATAAATCAAAACACGTTCTAAAATAGGCGCTTGTAACACGCTATTCAATAGAGAAAACGATGGTTTACACGTGTTAACACTTTGGTTTAGACAATGTTTTATGAAATGATGTCTTCTGTCATAAGATTTGGAAAACGAAATACGAAATTAACATTATGAAACCAGGAACAATATTACCGAATACTTTAAGATAACCCATTCTGTGCATTCTATATTAACACTCATAAAATCTAATTACGTGGAAGAACGAGCCAATGTAGTTTTTCTGGATTGAACATCTGAAAATATAACGAAGTAAGATCGTGAGTATAAACCTGCCTTTTATTTAATTTCTTCCTTTTTGAATTTGTTCTAACACCATGGAAACTACTGTAATAAAAAAGGAATTAGACTTTTAGAAAGTTTTCCTAAAAATCCGCCATTTTAACTTAGTTAGCTAGACAAAATGGACATCTCTTGAAAATTATGTAGCTGATAACAGTGGCAATTTCACAGCTTGTGACGTCACTAGCGAGAAATTCTCTCTGTTTACATATATAATGCTTTTATTCGGTATGTTTAACTTAAGAGTTCGTGCCTGGTGACAGGGAGTGAAAAACTAATAACAATCTTGCGGGGTTTTAGAGTCTTTTTTTTCAGAAAATAAATCCCTTCTCATCTAGAAATCATCAACCTGACATTCACCACGTACTCTTGTCGTCACGATATTTTAAATTGCTTTGTCAGTATAAACACAGATAGATGATTTTGACTTTGCGTTTTGTCTGAAGCTGAAAACAAACAAACAGTGTAATCAACAAGACAGAGCTTTGTGGAGAACGTCCAAGTTGTGAGAATTGTAAGTTGTATTCGGGAAAATCAGTTGTTTCCAAACTATATTATACTGAATATTTAAATCGTTTCTTTCTCAAACTAACATATTTTATTTCTCTTTTTTAAATACAATGAAGTTTGGTGATTTAAGCGAAATGCATCTCGATGTACAGGATATTGTGGGGACCAATGAACGTTGTCCAAGCACATGATACTTGCAATTGACTCTGTGAGGTTTAGGACTGATACGCTGAAATGAGAATGTCAGAAAGCATGTTGAAGATTTTTTATGACATTTTTTGAGATACCCTGTAGCATCATCAAATCTTTTCGAACAACAGTTATGATTCTCAATATGACTCTTGTAAAATGATTCACCTATGACAGGTAGCTTCCAAGATACAATGTCTTTAAATGCTGTGTTTTGCTAACTCTAATTGTAAATGAAAAAAAAAGTGTGGATAATGTGTCTTGTGGCAATTAAAAGAGTAGTAAGTGAATCTTAGGATGCAAGTCATATTTAAAATCAGTATTTTTATAATGACGTTTTAACCATATTTCGAATATGCTTGGTTATATTTCTTATGTAGTTTCTGCAACATCTATGATGTATTTGTCATTACTCTTATTTACACGAGCTAACATGAATACATCATTAGAGAGACGAATTGTTGCCTTGATGTATCAATAGGCAACATCAGTGTGGTTCTTTCGTTATACCAGACTGTTCTTAGTCCGTGGTTCTTATTATTGTGATCTCAGAGACTGGACGATTTGATACCTGGAAGACCTGAATACATCATTAGAGAGACGAACTGTTGCCTTGATGTATCTATAGGTAACATCAATGTGGTTATACCAGACTGTTCTTAGTCCGTGGTTCTTATGATGGTGATCTTAGAGGTACCTGGAAGACCTGAATACATCATGTAAACCAAATCAAGAGATGTTGGTAAAACATTTCGCACATCTT